CTTGCGAACTGTCGTGGGCAGTTGGAGTGGCGACATGGTATTATTCCCCATTCCTTTCCTCCTTGGTGTGATGAGCTGATCTGCCCACAACAAGCACACCACACACTCACTTTCCTTGCAGGCGTGGTGGTAGGTGGTGCGCTCGTGCTCATCCCGTGCTGGTGCTGTCTTGTACCTGTGGCGCTGGCCGTTCACCAGGTGTGTGCAGCACTGGTGTCGACAGGGGAAAGTCATGTAGGTGTGTTGGGCGCTCATGGATGAAAACAAAAAGACAGCTGATAAAGCACCTCTGTACTTTGTGGGCGACTTCGGAGAAAAAGAGCGAAACGGTGGCACATTCCGATCATTCTTCCCGTCCGAGACCTTGGCTGCCCCCCTTTGTAAAACGCCTACTAAACCAGACAATAAGGGGGCAAAACCACATGAATGTGTGGCACATTCCGATGTCATGACCAATCAGGTGAAGTGTAGCGCACGGTAGTCTTCATTGGCGCGCAGCTTTCTTTTTGCTCCTTTTTTTCGATCATCCATTTTCCTTAACATTTTCTCTTCCCTCTCCTTGGTCTGGCCCTCCGCTGCCCATAAAGTGTTCTACGATGGAAAAGGCGAGGAGTCTGGATAGGCCCTCGAAGGCTACAGGGGGTGTAAGAACCTTCCCGCGCGAAACGATACTCTCCAAGATTAACGATGCATCGCAGTACCTCTCGGAGGCCTCAAATCCCACTTCGGGTCCCTCCTCTTCAACTACAACTTCGACGGCCGTGACCGGTCACAAGGGACGCACCGTGAGCAAGGCCCAGCGGCGGAGCTATGTTCCCGCGTCCGGCTACACGGTGAGCAACGACGGCCGGCTCGTTTTTCTGCGACTCAAGGACGAGGTCAGGTTCGCCACTGCCACGGCAGCGGTGCGTAGCGTCCTCGAGCACCACAAGGGGCTGCTACGGTCGTTGGGCATCAGGAAAGGCGGTGAAGGCAGCGGCAGCGGCAGCGGCGGAGTGCGAAGCTTTGTGGCCCTCGTGTGCAAGGACGCGGCCAAAGCCGGCGGCTACCGGCTGTGCATGCGGTACTTCGGGTCGCGCCTGCCGGCGGCAGTGCCGTGGGCCATCGATGCGCTAGTGCGTGGTGACACCTTGTCTCGCGGCGTGCAGGAGGTGCTGCAAATCGGTACGCCTCATTTTGCTTCCCTTGGCTCCAGTGTGAGAGACGAACAACACAACTGGGGGCCGCGACGCTCACCTGGATCCCATATGGACGTGTACGCGCAGGCGGCCGAAGAGCTGTCCTCGGTGTGGTTAGCTCGGCGCTCCCGATCGGCGGACTTCCTTCGTTTCTGTTGATCGGTGCCGGATGGTGGGCGGTGGAGAAGGGGGCGAGGAGCATGGTGCGGTTGTTTGCTGATGACGCCGATGCCGGTGAAAGCACTCGCTCTCAACAAAACCCAAAGAAGAAGAAGAAGAATACGAAGGCCAAGCTGTGACTCTTCCCGAATGCCCCGCCTCAAGTGGCACTGTACCTCATAGCCTTTCTCCGCCCTCGCGGCAATGTCGTAACAGACACTAAACCACGCCCCTTCATGATGATCGCCCTCACTAAATCACGCACTCTCAGTCACCCCACCTCGTTGGGGAACAAGTTGCCCGAGCAGGCATTTCGCTGGGCACAACAAGGGAAACTGCCTGTCTTGTTTGTCGGGGTGACCTCAGTCAAACATGAGAAGAATGTGGGGAAGGATTGCCTCAGAATTCTCACCATTCCTAAGATGAGGTGAGGTTGTCATGGTGAGTTGGAAGGCGACACATCGCGGATACCAGGCAGTGGTGCTCCGCCGCGAAGCCCGCTTGTTGTTGATCTCGAAACGGAGAGAGAAGAGAAGGTGCAGGAGGGGGACGCGTGCTAGAGACGGCGAAGGGTCTGCCGTTGCATCGATTTGTAGAAACATTTCCATCTCCATCGCTTGAGATTTCGTGGTAAACAACGACTTCCCTAGGATGGACGAACAAACAAAGGAAGATGGAGGAATCGATCCCGCGCAGCAGTATGAGGATGAAGACGACGATGACTTCGACCCGTTCCTGCACGCTGTCGTGCCGCGCAATCTCTACCACAAATTTCAAATTGAGGGCAGCAAGCGATGGGGGCCACCTACCGAGATCCTGCCCTTCCTCTTCCTTGGGTACGACCTTCCCCTGGGCACTTCGCCAAGCCTGCCACCTCCCTTGTCCCCGCCACAAGGCCCGAGCCCCTTTCAATGTTTATTTCCATTTTTTAAAAAATCATTTTGCCCTTATTAGAGCAAATATGGGCATATCACGTAAATTATGATTTTCTTTCTGGGTCCCCTAGCCCATTTATTTTCCAATGTACAATGGCCTTCCAGTTATTTGCTTTTATTTATTCATTTTTTGTGCTGCAGGTCGTGTTTCTGTGCCAACGAAGAGGAACTGCTGCGCGAGCTCGGGGTGGACCACATCCTCAACGTGGCCGAAGAGTGTCCCCCGCCGCCCACTGTCGCGAACAGGAAGGAGGGCGAGAAGCTGGTTAAGCACTACATGATGGTCGACGTCGTGGAACATGTACGCTCTCGCCTAGTTCTATGCAGAGCACTGCCGCTCATTCTCGTGCTCTTCATTTTCTTCTGCCCGCAGATTCGCAAGAGCGAGAATCAGTGGAACACGTTCGAGTCGTGCTTCAATTTTATCGACAAAGCCAGAGTGGCTTACGAAGGGTCAGACTCCTACTGCCCACACGACTCTTTACAAAGAGGCCTGGACCTCACTCACTTTGGTCATACAGGAAAAACGGTGGCGGTAAGAAGAGACGGGGTAGCAAGCGGATGAAGAGGCCCGGCAAGGACGGGGAGGAGAAGACCGGCGAGCGGAAGGGCAGCGGGATGAAGATCCGTTTAGGCCTGAAAACAGGCAAGGACAAAGAGGGCGGAGCGAGTCCGCCTGAAGGGGGCGCGACTGGAGGCGACAGAGTGCTGGTGCATTGCATGCACGGCCGGTCCCGCTCGGCCACGGTACGCAATCCACCGCCCTACACATGCCCCCTTGTAAGGGGACATTGCAACTAACTCCTGGCCGGACCGTAGATTGTACTGGCGTATTTGATGAAAAAGGAGGGGTGGACACTGCGAGAGGCCTACGTGCATGTCAAGCTGCGACGACCCATTGTTGGCCCCGACAAGTGCGTTACAAGCCCGTATTCGTGTTCGTGGCTGTATTCGCGCGCGCGCGCGCGGTGCAGTGCTGGGACGATGGAGTCTCATGCGCTGCCGCTCTCCGCCACAGCAGGTACCTGAAGCACCAGTTGATTGACTACGAGAAACACCTCTTCGGCAAGTCGTCGTTTCAGAACGTCGAAGAGTTCCGCGACTTCCAGGTGCAGCTCACACCTGAGCTCGAGCTAAAGGAGAAGGAGCGAAAGCAAAAGCTGAAGGAGGAGGCACTGCAGCAAGAGCAGTCCTCCTCGTCCAACGACAGCAACACGACCAAGGCCGGAGAAGATGGAGGCGAAGAGGCAGAGCACTGCAACAAGGAGATGACGGCCGACGGCGAGGAGGAAGAGGAGGAAGAAGAGAGCAGCGGCAACAACGGCAACGCGGACAACAAGGACGAAGATGAGGGCAAGGGCAGCGGGAAGAAGGCAAAAAAGAAGAAGAAGAAGCAGAGCAAAAAGAACAAGAAGGCCAGCGACGAGGAGAGCACAGCAGCAGGAACGGAAGCGAGTGGCGAGGAGAAAAGGAAGAAGACAAAGAACAAGGAGAAGAGCAAGAAGCGGAAGGACGGATCCACGTCTTCCGGAAGCGCGACGGGGTCGCCTCGACAGGACGAGGAAGGCGAGGAAGGTGAGTGCAACAACCGAAAGCGAGGTGGCAGCGTAGCCTCCGTCTCCAAGGACGAACCCGTCAAGACGAAGAAAAAGAAGAAGAAGCTCACCACCGCCAACAGCAACGACCAGCCGTCGCGTACAACGCAGGCTTGACTGCAATGGGGCCAAACCATTAATAGAACGGAAAACAAAGAATATAAAAAGAAATCAATGGTATTAGAAAAGAAATTCTGTTGCTGGGGCCTGCGTCGACACCAGGCAGCTTGCCTGGACGTCGTCTTCATCAGACTTGATGTGTTGGATTGGGGGTGCTTTTCGAGAGTGTTAGATAGACGACAAGGCTTGAGAAAAGCTAGAGAAGGAGGAAGGGGCAAGAAGGCCAGACGAGCGAGGTAACGTGCAACCCGGCTACCCGGCGAGCTTCGACGTCATCTCGAGAACGATTTGGGGCTTGGGAGGGTAATGATGGAAACGACGGGACCCAACAATGTCCAAACGGAGAAACGATCTCTTACGACCTCGGCGACGGTGGCGCCGGCGTCAGCGCTTAAGGGATTAACATCGCCAGTGGCCGCTTCGGGAGAGACCACAAGCAAAATCGATGCTGGCGCTGCGCCGCGTGGCAAGAGGAGCAAATCAGGCTTCGTACCGCGATCAGGACAGAAGATTAAGGGCTCAACGGTGAAGAAATTCTTAGGCGTATCAACGTCTTCGAAGGACAAGCCCAAGGAAGGAAGCCGCATCATCAGCAGGAAGCTCAGCGTCGTGGAGGAGACTGGAGCGGGTACTCCCACCGAAGGACGGCCTACGGAGAAGACACAACAAATTGAATCGTTCGCTCGGGTGCGCCCCTCTACAAATTCACGCTCTGCACCTGCCAGACGCGCTTCCAACCCCACCTTCTTACCACGTCCTTTTTCTGGAGTAGCGGCTGGAGAGCGACCTGATGTACCTGCAGGATATCTACGCCAAGCTGCAGAACCACACGGCCACCACTGCGCGTACCCTTCCCTCCTTCCCTTCTTGCTCTTGCTCGTTTTCCATCCTCTTTATGCGCGCACCGTCTTCCCTCTTGCTGCTCGCGAACGCGCGCATTGTGCTGGTCTGGTTCATCCTCTCTCGCCTCCTCCTGACACTGGCGTTCTCACTCACAGAGGGCACTGAGGACGGCAAACAGCTAGCAAAGGCCTTCCTTGAGTACTCGAAGCAAAACGGCGGGGAGTATGGTATTTGAACTCACATCTGTGCCTTATCCCTCTTTCCTGCGTATGCTCCGGCCCTAATCACTCCTTTGGTACGATCAGGTGAATGCCTGCACGCTGTTGCTGCCTTCCAAGTTGGTATGGAGGAGACCAAGCTCAAACTGGTATCGTCCCGCTCGCGGCTCCATTTCAACTGTGCAACCATCTTAATTTGTGCCCCGTGTGCAGAGCAACGCTGTGATCGAAGTTTTTGCATCCCCGGTCAAGGAGTTCATTGATACGACCCTGCCTGAAGCTTTGGTACGTGAGTCGTCTACTCCCCGACTTCCGTTGGCGCATGACTAGGGGAAGGACTCACATCCAACCTTGCTTTTACGATCAACAGCGAAGCAAAGACAGGTATGATGAGGCCCGACTAGCCAATATTGAAGCTGATGCCAAAATGAGCAAACAAAAGCCCGGCAAGGCCACTATCACGGTTTAGCTCCCTTGCACCCACTCCCTTTCTTCCTCCCACGAGCCTGACACGCAATCAACACAACCCATAAAACTGTGCAGACACAGATCGAGTACAACAAGGCCAAGTATACGTACGAGCGAACACAAGAGGAGGCTGTCAATACACTCAAAGATTCTATCAAAGAGGTCAGCCAGGATACACTCATTCATGTACGTTTGTTTGTAATTCCTCTCACGTGCGCGATCCTCTATCCACCTACGGTGTCAGTGTAAATAACTCATCGAATCATATGGCGATGCAGTTATGCGACTACCTCGATGCCTACGGTCAGTTCTTCGCCCAGGGTCAGCAGATGCTGAGCAGGTTGCAGCCATCGATCGAGCGGTATCGCGAATACACCCAGAGGCAGAAAGACGAAGACCGACAGCATAAAGAAGAGCAGGAGCGAAAGGAAGCCGAAAAGCGCGAGGCCCTCGTCCTGGAACAGAAGAAATACGCCGAGGAAGGCAATACCTCACTTTTTGGTATGCTGAGCTCTCTCCTCCTTGCGGCTCTTCGTCATCATGTTTACCATGGGCCAACGTTGGCAACAGGCGCGCCGCTGCATGTGCTCTACGAAAAAGAGGGCATCAGCCCACCGCAAGTGCCCTCCCTTTATCATGTGCTCATCAAGTATATTCGAGAGCATGGTACTACCGTCCACTCGTGCGTGCACGCGCACGGCCTCAGCTGCTGACGTGCGCTCCGTACCCTCCAATTACGCAGGGCTTAAGGAAGTTGGCCTATTTCGAATGGCGGCGGCCCAGAACGCAACAGCTCATATTATGAAACTGATCCTTACCGGTACGCTGCCAGTGTGACAGCAGCTGAAGAGCTTCCGTGCTCACGAATCCCACTTTCCGTATAGCGTCCGGACGGCCGATAGAACTCGAGGGCGAACTCGATCCGCATGCGGTGGCGGGCGTGCTGAAGAAGCTGCTGCGACAGCTGCCCGAACCTCTGCTCACCTTTGAACTGTGGGACAAATTCGCTGTCGTCATCACGGGTGCGGCCACACACTTGCTCCCTTTGAGCCTATAGCATGTATTGACTCCCTGTAGGCGAGCACAACTCAGACGCGGAGCGGATTCTAGCTCTGCGGGCAGTCGTTCATCAGTTGCCGCCATATAATTTCGCCCTGACCAAAGCAGTCGTCGAGCTGTGCACGGAGGTGACGAGCCATTCTGCCTTCAACCGAATGAGCCCTTCGGGCCTTGGTACTTTCCAAGCTTTACGCATCGCCATGTCCGCAGCTTCATGGTGCTGACGAAGTTATCCCTTGGTCCTTATGTTAGGAGCGCTTTTGGGTCCCAACCTGGCGTATCCGGCGGTGTCTGAGGATGCTGATCTGCTGCGCGACATGAGCGTGGCCAACCTCCTGGTGGAGTCCCTGATTCAGCATTATGGTAAGCTGTTTGGAGACGGATCCGCCGCATGCTTGAGCGATTGTACGTGCATCAGGCCTATCGTCCTTGTCTTCCAGCTCTTGACCTTGATGTTTGTCGTCTGTGATGTGGCCTAACAAATAACCTCGAAACACACAACAACTACAGCTGAGTGTGAACCAACCACACCGGACGTGGAACGCAGAGGCGGGGCGAGGAGCAAAACGGTCGACCACAACCTTGAATCGGAGAGCGATGACGCTGGCGAAGAATTGACGGACGAAACCACCGACGATGACGAGCGGCCGCGGCACAACAGTATCAGCGCCGGTGGCGGCGGCGCTACCGAAGACTTTGCGTCGCTCTACGAGCGGGAGGTCGTCAGAGGGGTGGGGTGGAGCAGCAACGACGCGAGTGGCGATGACACCAAAAGCGGTAGCTTCATTGGTAGCGGCATGGCCAGCGGAAGTGGAAGCGGTATCGGAACGAAGTCGACAGCTTCCAGAAGTGTCGGCGCGGACGAGGCGCCGACGGCGCACTCTGCGTCCATGGAAGCCACTAGCGCGCTGTTCCATCTCAAGGAGTCGCGTGGCAAGAGTCACGCGCGGACGCACAGCGGAACGAAGATCGCCGAGGCGTCAATCCCCTACGACGAAGACTCACCATCGCCAGCCACGGGCAACAGTCCCTACAACCGGCTGTCGCGACAGCTCACCTTCACCTTTGGCGGCAACGCAGACGACGAGCGACGAGAGAGCAAGAAGAAGGACGGCCAGAAGAAGGATAAACACAAAAAGAAGGAGAAGAAAGAGAAACGAGAAAAGGACAGCAAAAAGGACAACGAGGAAAAGAAGCTCGTGTCGCTCGCCCTCAAACAAGCGACAACGCCGGCGGCCACCGCCAAGCCCGAGCAGCAGAAACTGCCCTCGCCGCGAAAACGAACCAAGGACACCAAGGAAGCCAAGGACGCGACCGGCAAGCCCGGCAACGACCAGCAGCAGCCGGAGAAGGAGAGCCCTTCGCCAGCAACTACTGTGCAACTGCAACTGCCCCCCAAGTTGGCGCCTATGGAGGTGGAGATGGACATCGCGCTCAAGGCCTTTAACGTCGGCCAGGACGCCGACGAGCTTGTCAAAGAGGTGGCTATTGACGACCTCGGGACAGCCCGGTGCGAACGACCCGCGCGCGTGTTGCTCCGTCGGTCGCTCAGCGGCAACATCCCCAGTGGTAGGCATCACCCGCATGACACGCAGCACGCGCGCAGAACTGTAATGGGTGGCTTATGCGGTGTTATGTGGTCACCTCAGCGGCGGTGTCCAAGCGGCGCGGAAGCACGCGAGGTGTTGAGGTGAAGAAGCGAACGTCGTGTCTGTCGACCCTCACGCTCTACAACGAAGAGCTGCTGGACAAGACGATAGAGGAGATCTTCCACACGGGCTCATACTCGGGCTGGTGCGTCCCGCGCCACCTCTCGCATCCTTGCCATCATCCGTAATCGATGCTGATCCGGTGCACTCCGTTGGTCGCAGGCTGGTGGTGGGGTACAAGGACTCTGCGACGTTGGAGTTACAGGGCTCGGGCGTAGGCGGCGTGGACGAGCTGGTGAGACACCTCAAGGACACCGAGGTCCAGTTTGCGCTCCTCCGCCTGCCTATCATCTCACAGGAGGACGTAGACCCTTCCAAGTCCATGATTTCACGGTTCAGTCGCCCTCTCCCTTTTCTCATCGGCTGGCCCGTCCCCTTCTTCTGACCGTCGTGCCACACGTCACATGCGCACACACTCTCTCACCACACAGGGACATCTTCATCGGTTGGATTGGACCCAAAGTGGGGATCGTTCAGAAGGGCAGGAAGAAGGCGCACGTCGGTGAAGTCAAGGAGCTCCTCAAGGTAAACCTCCCAACTCTATAACTCTTCTGCACCAGCTGCCATCACGCGCTAACACTTGGCGGTGGTGGTGCGCAGCCGTTCCACGCGGAGCTGTTTGCGCTGCGGCGGACCAACTTCACTGAGTCCGTCGTGCGGGACAAGTCGGGACCGATCTCGGGTTCGCACATGATAGACTGATGAGCGGCTCCTTCCTCACCGGACGCCCAGAGCTTCCAGAAGGGGGCCAAGGTCGATGATCAGACTGACGTTCGCCACACGTGAGGGACCATGATACTTTGTAGACATAGCGCACCCAACCATAATCGAGCACAAGTAAGGCAGATGGCCGTAGCAACTTAACGCGCGTGCAACGGTCAAGGCACGCGACTAGCGTCGGGGATTTCGCGAGATTATGCGATCAACGAATGAGCGAGACGCGACTAAAGGAGTTCTGTGAATTTACTCAACGAGAGACGCCACAAAAAGAGACAACTCTTGCGCGAAGCAGGCCACCCCTTATTTTCTTTTTCACCTTCACTCTTACCACACCAACCCGCCACTACAAGCAATCTTCTTCTACAAACCTTTTGTAGCGCCAAGTGTTTATGGGAAAGGATAGGACGCGTAAGGGAAGCAATGCCAGTAACGTAGCAGCGCAACTTTCAGAAGTGGATGCAGCAGCTGAGCAGCGGCTGACCAGGTGCCATGCCCTGGCGGTGGACGAAGTGGCCGACCTCCTCGAGACGTCGCCCGTCAGTGGACTGAGCCCAGCCGAGGCAGCACGGCGCCTGGACGTCTACGGTCCCAACCAGCTGCGCAAGTCGGAGGGCGTCAAGTTCTACATGCTCGTCGTGCGCCACCTGTTCAACTTCATGTCGTTTGTGCTCTTTGCGGCCTTCGTCATGGCCTGTGTGACGCAGCAGTGGATCGACGCTGGTGTTGTGGCCTTCCTCATCTTCATCAACACCATCATCGGCGTGTCGCAAGGTACGCGCTGCTCGCAAGCATCAGTAGCATGCACCCTTTCGGCTCACACGTCTTCCCTCCCCCTACCCAACAGAGTACAAGTCGGAGAAGACGATGGAGGCGCTGAAGAAGATGGCGTCGCCCACGTCGTTGGTCATTCGCGGCCGGGCCGACAACGCCGTCGAGATCTCGTCGAGCGAGATCGTGCCGGGCGACCTGGTCCTCCTCAGCCAGGGCGACCGCATTCCCGCCGGTACACTGCCCAGCTCTATTGTCATTGCCCCTGCCCTCCTGCGCGCTGCAAAAAGGTAGCCACGCGTGCTAACTTGGTCGAAGGGCAGATCTGAGACTGGTAGAAGTGGTGGAGCTCGAGTGCGACGAGGCGCTGCTGACGGGCGAGAGCATTCCTGTGGAGAAGACCATCGCCGCGCTGGTGCCCAAGGACATCGAGAGCTCGGCCAAGACCGGCCAGACCAACGACGACGACACCTACAAGCCGGAAGCGCCCGACGTGCCGCTCGGCGACCGCACCAACGTCGCCTTCATGAGCAGCACCGTATCCAAGGTCTGTTCGCTTGTCTACGCCGTGCACCAGGCTCCGTCCAGCTTTGGTTGGTGCTCACCTCATCTCTACTACGACAGGGACGCGGCAAGGGCATTGTGGTGCACACGGGCCAGCGTACAGAGTTGGGGAAGATCGCTGACTCGATCGCCTCTCAGTCCAAGGACAAGACCAAGCTCGAGGTTCGTTGAGGGCAAGGGGGTTTCTGCTTCCACAAGGTGATATGATAGTGGACCTTGTCTCATGGTTCGAACGAACGAACAGAAACGCATGAACTGGCTGGGCATCACCCTGGCCATCGTGGCCTTGATCGCCGTTGGATGTGTGCTCATGGGCCTCTGGGGCTGGGAAACTCTCGACACCTACCCTGATGGCCTCCAGGTACCTCACTTATCCTGCCGCGGGGATTCTGTTTTTCCTGGCCTGAGTGCTGGACTATGTGATGATGCAGGTGGCGGTGGCAACCGCGGTGGCCATCATCCCCGAGGCCCTCCTCCCGGTCATTACCCTCTGCTTGACCCTCGGTAGGCGAATCGCTTCCATGATGCCGCGTGTGCCCCCGACCTCGCCTCGCCTGCAGCTGAAGAACTCAAACGGTGGTGTGTGTGGCAGGTGTGCGGAGGATGGCGCTGAAGAAGGCGCTGGTGCGCAAGTTGGGCTCGCTGGAGCAGCTCGGCAATGTGTCGGACATCTGCTCGGACAAGACAGGCACCCTCACCCAGGGCAAGATGGTGGCCACCGACATGTGGCTACCCGCCCACACCTCCCATTACTTTTCCATCACGGGCAAGGGTACATGACCCCCATAAGCTCTTCTCTCTTGGCCGCTGCCCGGGCGTAGGTCGTGCTTACTGTGCGGCGCAGGATTCGACCCCACGGAGGGATACATCGTCCGCAAGGACCGCAGGTTCGAGGACGAAGACGAACTGGACGAGTCGCCTGACCTCGACGAGACCGGCGACAAGGCGAGTACTCACGAACGTTCGCCGAGCGTAGATGACGTCGAGATGCAGCAGATCACCGCATATGATGTGCGCCCCCCCCCCGCCACTCTCAATGTAGAACAACTTCAAGCTCCGAGATGTACCACTTGCTGACGTTCGGACGTGTACGGGCAGGGTGGTCGGCCCGTGCTGGAGTTCGACCAATCGATTCGCATGGCGCTGCTGGTGTCGGCGCTCTGCAATAACTCTGGCATTACGCAGAAGGAACACGACAAGGACGACGAGTCTGCCGAATCAAGCGAACGCAAGAAGCGCAGAAAGTGGCTGTGTTGGAACCGCGAGACGAAGGAGAACGAAGAGGAGGCGGGCATGCTCACTCACGAAGAGAGTACGTCTACGTGGTTCATTGTTTGCCCCCCCCCATGGCGCAAGCATGGTTCACTAAACACACACGTCTTTCATCATCGTAGATGTGGAGTGGGTGCCTGTGGGCTCGCCCACCGAAGTTGCGCTCTACGTCATGGCCCGGAAGCTCGGTATGTCCCTGCAGCCTCACTGCAGCCAGCCGGGGGCAGCCTCGCTGATCCAATCCTTGTTGCTTCTTCCACAGGAGTGGAGCGTAGCAACGAGGAGATGACCAGTGTGTGGGAGAAGACGGCCGAGTATCCGTTCGACTCCACTATCAAGCTCATGAGCGTTGCCCTCTTCAACAAGGGTACACACTTTATTCGAGCTGGCCGGGTTGTACGACTTAGTTGGCTAATGATTCATGAACGAAAACGTACACAGAGGAGGAGGAGAACTATCTCTTCTCCAAGGGCGCACCAGAGCGGCTGCTGCCCAAGTGCACTCGCATCCTTACGGCCGACGGGGAAGTCGAATTTGACGATGAGCGCGAGGACGAGATCAAGTACGGCGTCCTTTATGCCCAACACACGCACACCACTGCTAACCCATCTTGTTCGCCGTGATCAGGGAGATGAACGAGCTGATGGCTGACGACGGCTTGCGTGTGCTGGCCTTGGCCTATAATCGCCTCCCCGACACTTTCGCGCCAGGTACGCCATTCCTGCACACATTGCCAGTCCTACTCTTTTTGGTCAGGGAGCGCGTGACTGACGTGGGCTTGCTTTCCTCCCCCAGGTGTGAAGAGGGACAAGGTGGAGGAAGATCTGGTGTTCGTGGGCCTGGTGGGCATCAAAGATCCGCCGCGAGACGGCGTCATTGAGTCCATCGAGATTTGCGAGCGGGCCGGCATCGCGGTACACATGCTGACCGGTACTCCTCCCTTTCTCTTGTCCTGCACTGCACAAGGACAGGCTGATGACCTGCAATTGTTCAGGCGATCACCCGTCAACCTCGACAGCCATCGCCAGACAGATTGGCATCATTGGTCCTTCACAGGTGGCGACTGATGCTGTAATGACCTCCACGCAGTTCGACCAACTGACCATGGACGAGTTGGTACAGGCCTTCGGCCCTTACACACATGTGAGTATTCGCTAGTGCGCTGACACGGCGAAACACACGACGCAAAGGAACAAGCCGAGAGCTTGCCGTTGGTAATTGCACGATGCAGCCCGGAGAGCAAGGTCAAGATGGTGCAGGCCCTGCACGACCGCAACAAGATCGTGGCCATGACAGGGTACGTCTAGAGCCACTCCAGACGATTGTTCGAAACTGTGGGCTCACCTGTGCATCGGCCTTGTGTGAATGCAGAGACGGGGTGAACGATTCGCCCGCAATCTCGGCGGCCGATGTGGGCATCTCAATGGGCATCAGCGGTAGCGATGTGACCAAGGAGGCTTCGGACATTATCCTCACCGACGACGACTTCTCCACGGTAGTCAGGTATGACGAGCCTCCCCCCTTGTTGCTGGACTGTCAGGATGGGCCACTGACGATCGTACCTAGGGCGATCGAAGAGGGAAGGCGCATCTTCGCCAACATCAGGCGCTTCATTGTGCACCTCATGGCGGGCAACGTGGCCGAGGGCATCATCCTCGTGCTGGGCATCTGCGTGGGCCTCGATCCTCCGCTCAACCCGCTTCAGATCCTGTGGATTAACCTGATCACTGGTATCGCTCTCTTGCCTTCTCACATTGATGTGCACACGTCAGGGCCTAACACGTCTTTGTGGCAGGCACGCCCCCGGCCATGGTGCTGAGTGTGCAACCGGCGTCGAGGGATCTGATGAACAAGAAGTCGCGGCCCGTCGATGAAGGCCTCTTCACCAAGGGTTCGGCCTCTCGCTGGTGTGTCATGCTGGCGTGTCATTGTTGGCTGACGTCAGCACAACCACAGGAACCTTGATGGACATCATGTTCTACGGAGTGCTCATGGGCGCGCTCTCGCTGGGCAGCTTCGTGTGCATGGTCTACGCGTTCGATGCCGACCTCAAGGAGGCCCAGGCCACCACCTACATCACCCTCACCATGCTCCTGCTCGCCCACGCCTACAACTGCAGGCGCCTGCGCCGCTCCATGTTCGGCAAGCAGGTGTGGAAGGCCTACGGCTTCCACCTCTCCTTCCTCTTCGGCATCGGTACTCACGCCACACCTCACATGCACCCCATTCACTCTCTTCCCACCCACTAACTTGTGCGTGTGTATACGATTCTAGGGTCGGTGTGCTTCACGCTCTACGTACCGAAGGTGAATGATCTCATCTTCCACTCGGTGGCGCCTGGACGGTGGGCGTGGGTGCTGGGCATCGGGTCGGCGGTGGCCTTCGTCGTCCTCTCCGAGCTCTACAAGCTCATCGTGCACCGGCTGCTGCACCACCTCCTGTGGCTTATGCGCGGCGGCGAGGCCTACGAGGCCAGGCGCCAGGCCAAGAAGGCTGCCCGCCGGAGGCAGAGGCAGCGGGGACTACGCCGGTTCGCCCTGAAGAAGAAGAGGAGGCGGGAGCGCAGGAAGAACGGCACCAAGGACGCCGATGACAAGAAGAAGGGAAAGAACCAGAAGCGGGAGAAGAAGAGCGATCTCAAGTCCGAGGGCCTCGATGAAGACATCCGCACCGCGGCCGACGTCTTCTGACAATTACTGCCTGGGAGGCTTCACCTCGGCCTACCCCCGCCACGTCCACTCTCGCACAAGCTCCCACAACCACGAATACATTCATTCGGAAAACAAAAAGGTGGGTGTGGGCCGCTTGATGGCGAATCTCGCGGTGTCTGGGGGTATTGGGGTCCAGGGGGATCCTGACCTTTCGGTCCGGCGATTTGTTGATGAAGCAGAGTTTACTCTCTGCGTAGAGGGTTGGGGCCGACACGGCGTCTATGCCGACGCCGTGCCCGCCGCCACGTAGTGTATGGTCGTCCACACAGCGATGAATGCTTGCTCAGATGAGGCAGGTACTTGCTCTTGCCAGCTACCACGGTCAATCACGATTCGAAGTAGCGTAGAACTCATCTTTGCAAGCAATGCGCCCGCACCCAACCGTATGCTGGCCGCGTGCGGTCTTCTTGTTGGCTGCCTCCGTCGTCGCGTGGCCGCATTGTGGGACCAAACAGACAAAAAGAAGGAAAGCCACAACTAAAAAGGAAAAGGAAGTGAAAAGGCTGACCAATCATCGAATAGTTTTGTATTTTGAAAGAAAGTACAGATCTGTGTGGCTTCCGCTTGATCAGCCGAGGACGAAGTGGCACGGGAAGGGGAATCCACCAGGAGGAGCCGTGTGCAGTGCGGAACGGATGGGTGGGCTCGGTTGCGAAGGCGCTGCGGGCTCAATCGGAGACGGCGTGGGCGAGGAGGCTTGCGACGACGATGGCGATGCTGCGTAGTCGAAGACGAATGTGCTGTCGTCCAGAGCGCAATCCGTGCTCGCGTCGTTGAGGAGGAACGCGATCGACGTTGCCTGCGACCCTCGCTTGCTCACCGTGGTAGTAGCCGTCGAAGTCGTGGCACTTCGTCGTCGCCGGCCCTTGGCCGTGGTCGCCGCCGCCTTGTTTTGTGACGTTTGTGTCTCGTCTCGCTGAACTCTGCGGTGTTTGCGTGGTTGTCCCGTTGTAGACGAAGGCGTAGTTGCGGTCGTGTCGGGGTGCGCCTCGTCATCACCATCGTCGGCCACTTTCCTCTTCGTCGACTTCAGCGTTGTCTTGTGGTTGCCGACCTCGCCATCGGCCGTGTTGGTGCGCCGTCGGCGACGTCGCTGGGGCGTGGCGGCCCAGGTCGGAACCTGGTCGAAGGGCGAGAGGAGGCTGGCGGCCATCGAGGACTTGACGGCGAGCGAGGCCAGAAAGTTGTGGACGTGGTGCATCGACCCCGCTTCATTGGCGAGCAGGGCCGACGCCAGCGTGGGAATGGACGTCAGCGGCACATGTTCATGCCCGCCCAACCGGGTGGCCGAGCCATTTGATGGTGGCGCTGAAGAAGGAGATAATAATGGTGGCGAAAGGCTGGAGGTGGTTGTGGTAGTGTTGAGAAGCCTGGACATCATCACGAGGGTTGAGACTCAGAGCTGAGGGTGCAGCTTTTGGGTTTGAGCTGTGGGCGCGTAGACTTAGAGGGTCTGAAGATGAGAAGAATAGCACACGCAAGTGCCACATCTCCAGGCCTAGTTCCTTCTGGATCGGCACGTGCGATGCCAAGTTGACTAGCAACACCAAGATCTTTCTCTAGCGTTCACATTCACGCGAGGAATGCGCGACATGTGACTGAAAATCCGTTGGTCGGAGTTATAACCGGGGTTGCCATGCTCCTAGGCAGCTCCTGGCCAACCGCGTTCAGTTTTTCCACCTCGGTTCGTCGGACTTTCTGGGCACCGCTGATCGCGATGTGAACAGTTGACACGAGGAAGAAATCCAACGGTTAACCGAGTGAACGAAAGGGCCGCTTGCCTGTTGGTCCCCTCTCTTTTTCCTGTATTTTAAGCCCTGCTTTCTGGCCTTCGGGACGCTCGCGGTGGCGCCTAGACGGGTTCTTCATCGATGAACAAGTCGACGTTGTTGTTGCGCCGCCAGCTTCCGCCAGACGAGACGGACGAGAAGGAGAGCGTGGAGACCGACTTCTGCATTTCGCCGCTGGCGGTGCCGTCGTGATCTGCTTCTAGATCGGCGGCGGCGAGGGCGTCGGCGGAGGCCGGGTTCGTGCTGGTGGCCACCATTCGGCTGCGGTAGAGCACGGCGCCAGATGATGTCTTGCTGGGAGAACGTTGCATGGCACCGCTGCTCGTCTTCAACGCTGTCGAGGCGGCGGAAGCCGAGGAAGAAGGGGGCTGCGGGTTGGCCCGGTGGGCACGCCTATAGAGGACCACCCCCGCAACTGTGGCCGCCACAGCCAGCGCGATCAGGGCCGGCACCTGTTCACTCCAGCAATGTAGATTGCAACGAGACATGTCAATGATGGCAGTCAGGAATGAGACATGCACAATTGTGAATGATCACATTACACATCGTGATTCGTGCGAGTGGTCGATTACTACAGGAGTATGACGACATACCCCGACAGCCAGGCCGACGCCCAGGCCGATCTTGGCGCTGTCGGACAGGCCGCCTCCGCCGGACTTCATCACAGCGCCCACAGAGGCCGAGGGCGATGGCCTGCGTGATGAGCTGCTGCTGGGGGTCGCCACAGGCGACCTCGACGCCGACGCCTGCGGGGATCGAGATGCTGCGGGCGACGCTGGGACGGACGGAGCTGGAGACGGCGGTGCGGGCGATGGCGCAGCGGGCGAGGGTGGAGCGGGGGAGGGAGGAGCGGGGGACGGGGCGGCAGGCGATGGGGCAACTGGTGAGGGCTCTGTGGACTGAGCGGCGGAGCGATCAACATTGGCGCTCACAAGGGCCAGGACGAGGCAGAACAACATGATGAAGGCCCTCCGCTTGGGGCGAAGTGAAGAGGGGGAGCTTGGAGCCATGGCCGTCGAGGTGTGGATGCAAGGATGGCAGAATATACTACTGAATTGGTGGCGTTGGTGCAACTGCAGCTGCAGAGCCTCTAACCGAAAGGGCCTTGGGCGAGACGGTTCACCACCAATGTACTGGACCGCCTTCGCCTTGAGGACGAGCCCATCGGTTGGAGGCGGCACTGTATCTGGAAAAGAGAGGGGGGTGAGAGCCCTAGAACCGACATTCCAGCCCACTCTCCAGTCTGTGACTTTTACCGCAAAGCTTGAGCTTCTTGACTTGACTCACGTTGTTATCATCACAGCATTCTGGATCTCCCTTCCGAGGAAGCTGGTGGTGGCGAAGGGTCTGACCTGGTGAAGGCCAATGGTGTGGTCCTTTGCTGGTTATGGCAGCGACTGCTGATGTTGCAAACAAATAAACTCTTCGCATTGCCATAGTGTCGCGACGAGTTTCGGGCCAGCACGCCTAGAGCTTTTGCTGGAGTGGAGAGTTAGGTGCTGGGCCACGTCACACGACACTATGACAATGCGAAGAACACGTTTTCGCGTTGCGAGGCGTTGAGCCACCTCATACTTGCTTTGCAGAATGAAGAAATTCTGATTAGTGGCCCTCGCGCAACTTTGCCACCGCAAGTGGTCCCTCGATCTTCTTCCTAGCTGGACAAGAACGAAGACGAAAGAAATCCGTGTGACCCAAACCCAAGAGCCAGCGCAGTTGTGGTAAAACAGATTATCTTCTCGGGGTAATATTGCGATCAATGGGCGGCAGCCCTTCGCTCGAGTACAAAGTGGCATGGGAAGGGGAAGGCTCCACCGTCTGCCTGCGGCGGTGGTGGTGATGGCGTGAACGAGGGAGAGGAGGATGGTGAAGCTGGAGAAGGCGAAGGAGACGAGAACGAGTCGTTGAAGAAAGAGGTGTCGTCATAGCTGGAGTCCGTGTCGTTGAGGAGGAAGGCGATCGACGTCGGCCGCCTGCTCTCCTCCACAACCTGCGGCGGTTGCGGCGACGCCGTGGTCGTGGTGTTGCTTCGCTTCCTGCTGCTTCGTCGCTTTCGGCTGCTGGTCGCGGTCGTGGTCGTGGCCGTTGTGGCTTCAGGGCTCGTCGACGAAGCTGTGGCCGTCGAGGTGCTGACCGTTCGTCGGGTCCGCCTCTGCTTGCGCGGGCGCGTCGAGGCACTGCCCGAAGCGTCATCGGAATCGGCGCCCGCGCCGACCTCCTCTGGGTCGACGGCTGCGGCCGAGTTGGTGGTGGTGCGTCGTCGGCGGCGACGGGTCTGGGTCGGAGCGGTCCAGGCGGCGGACGAGGCCGAATGGGGGTCGTTGGTCCCCGCGCCAGCCGACGAGGCCTTGACGGCGAGCGAGGCCAGGAAGCGGTGGACGTGGTGCATGGAACCGGCATCGGCGAGCAGGGCCGACGCCAGCGTGGGAATGGACGTCAGCGGCACGTGCTCCTGCCCGCCCATCACCACTTGCTGCGGCGGAGACCTGGGCGGGCTCGCCGTCGTCGTGGTCGAAGTTGAGGCCAGCATCATCGGACAAGGGTCAGCTGGTGTGGTGGTGCGCGGTGGGCGAAGTTCTTCTGGTGGCTCGGAGTGGTTCTGGTGGTGGTTCGCTGCCAATAAATGAGGAAGGTTTGACGGACGTGCGCACGTGTGGGCGATGCAGTTCTTGTTGGCTGCTGGGCGGTGCGCGTGCTGGCAGGACGTACTGGCTGGATCGGTTGCTACGACTGGTGTGGGGACGATTGGGCCGAGGCGGCGAGTGAGTGTGTTGTTGGGCTGAGGTGGTGACGGTGCTGGCAAGCACACGGGACAAGGCGCACACGGCGAGTCGAGAAGATAAAAATTCAATCGACGAAGCTCTTTTTCAGTTTTGGCTTCCCGACACTGCACTTGTCGACGATCCACGATTGGGCCCACGTGAAGGACTCGGTTGAGCAGGAACTTAAGGTTGCGCAACTCCGGCCTTCCACTCCGGGTGCACTGGGGCGACAACAAGGCGGTAGGCGAGGGAAAAATCGGAGAATATAAATGTGGGCCAGGTACAGTCCATCTGTGCGCCACCAGTGTCGTCTAGGCGATTACCATGTGCGGGTTCACCAATGGCGCAAGTGCACACCGGACGGATCGACCTATCATCACCGGGTGCGATCTTTTCCGCGGGGCACATGGCTACCAACACGTGTGCAGACGTTCGTCGGCATGGCGCGTGGACAAGGCGGAAAGTAGGTCGCCCACTCCCAGGAGTCGGACTGGGGTCACCGCCAGTCTCGTTATAGTTGCACATGTTGAGGTTTTTCGCGCAATAAGATATAGCCATACCCACGTGACAACATGTTGTTACTCAACACACTCCTAGTACTAGCGTCATCGACTTTTCAACGGCTATGCAGCCTGTTGGGGCGCCGTCTATACGGGCTGAGTGTCGTCGAAGAGGTCGACGTTGTTGTTGCGCGCCCAGCTGTCGACTGAGGAGACCGAGGACATCGAGGTCTGCGAGGCCGTCTTCTGCAGGGGGTTGGTGGCTGTGTCGGCGCTTCCGGCCTCCAGGTCGTCGCCGGCGTCGAGACCGGACACGGGCGGGTTGGTCGCGGTCGAGGCGGAGGGCCTGACCACGCGGCTGCGGTAGTGTGCTGTGCCTGCCGCAGTGCGTGGACGAGCTGCGCCCGATGACGACGATCCGAGCGACTGCTCACTCTTGCTGGCGCGTCGATACAAGATCACCCCCGTCACCACCGTCACTATCGCCACCAGGATCAACAGGGCCGGCAGCTGCATTCATGGTTCGACACACGACACACGGTACGCGTGTGTGCGAGATCAGCAACGCATTCGGACTGGGTGAATGTCAGGAGGTGTGGTGAGTACCCCGGCTGCTAGGCCGACGCCCAGGCCGATCTTGGCCGAGCTCGAGAGTCCGCTGTCGCTGCCGGCCTCGGACTTGACGCCGCCGGCGGCCGGTGAGGGCGAAGGCGACCGTGAGGGGCTCCTGGTGGCAGGCGAGGGCGAGGGCGTGGACTCGGGCGACTGCGACGCTGACGGCTGGGCCGAGGGCGACGACGACGCTGCAGCGGGCGAGGAAGAAGGCGACTGGGCCGCAGGGGACGACGAGGCCGACGCGGCGGGCGACGCCGCGGGAGAAGGCGCGTCCGGCGATGACGAAGCCGAGGGCTGCGGCGAAGCCGATGGAGAGGGAGCCGCGGGCGACGATGAAGCCGAAGGTGCGGGAGAGGATGAAGGAGACGCCGCGGCAGGCGAGGATGAGGCCGAGGGTGCGGGAGAGGAAGAGGGCGAAGGGGCGGCCGGAGATGATGAAGGGGAAGGCGCGGCAGGCGAGGGAGAAGGCGCGGCAGGCGAGGGAGAAGGCGACGGGTCCGGGGCTTGTGGCGATGACGAAGGGCTGGGTTCGATGGACTGGGCTGTGGAGCGGTGGCTGAGGGCGAGGAGACCGATCAGCAAGAAGTAGATGGCGAGCGCTCGCGACGAAGCTCTGACGAAGGAGAAACTCATGGTGGTGGCCTACTCTCTGTTGTGTTGGCGGTCGTGTTTGGAGGGAATGATGGTGATGTGTTTGAATGGTGGTGGTACTCGTCTTCTTCTGTGTTTTGACAGTGGACGTGATCTTTGAAAGTTCTGCACATGACCTGTGCCCCGCAGCCCATCTTCGCCTCACCAGCAGTCCCAGTCTTCAAGGAGGCCTTGGTCCTCCCACGACTTCCACAACAATTTGCGCCCCACGCCCAAGGGCCGCCCTTTCGCTCAAGTCACCCCCAAGAGGCACGACCCTGCTCTCCTATTGGTTGTCATTTTATCTTTTTAAAAAGAATGTGGCGGGACATTCTAAGAATTGTAATAATTTCGAAAATTCAGATATTGTGCTGACGTCACCTTAAACGTTTTCGGGATGACTGGTGCGCGCTGTGCGGCACCGAGAGAGATAAGACCAGCAAACGGCGGTGATAGTTGCGCGGGCGAGGTCTTGGCGGGCGATCCCCTCAACAGGAACGAAAGAACCGCGAAAGTAGACGAGAAGGTGGACGGTAGAGGGACCAGACAGCAGCGGCGACAACTCGGACACGAGAGCGCGACCAGACATGTGGTGGTGCGATAGGTGAGGTGAAGATGATCAAATCGCCACCTTAACTTTCGCCAGCCAAGCGCCCTTCGGCCCACTCGTTCGTGCGACTTTCACATCAAATCCACGAGCTAGTGAGGTCTGATAGTTCCGTCGGCGCCGGCAGTGTGCAACAACGACACGAGATAACACTCACGCTCCTGCCTCTGTAGCGGCTATTAGAGTGCTACACGCGCTAGTATAAAAGCCCAGACGTCATCTTTGCCAGCACGACCCACACCACCACACGCACACGAGAGCGAACTCGTCACCGAAGACCGGCCCAACTCTCCCCTAGGTGAGACCAGCAAAAAAACCCCATTTCACCTACACCCCACCCACCTACTTCCGATCCCTTCCCTTGTCACTCGGTCATGGAGCAACATAACAAGGAGGAGCTCATGCTCTACACAAACGACCTCTGCCGCCTGGCCTCGAAGGCCCACGCTTGGGGTCTCCGTCAGGAGGAAGTCGCGAGGTTCCAGTCCGACATTGACGCCATCAAACACCTGGCCACTACGGCCTCCACGTCGTACCCCGTCGGGGCCTCTTCACCGTCGCGCTCTTCCTTCTCCTCCAGCACCTTATCATCACCGCCCTCGTCGCCCAGGGCGGGCTCCACCTCGCCCTTCTCGTCATCGCCGCCGGCCACGGCCACCGCAGCCTCGAGCGGCTTCCTGTCTTCGACGCTCACGGCCCTCTCGACCAACGCGAGCTCCTTCCTCGGCGGCCAGCAGCACTCGGCGACCACGGACGCGGCCGAGGCGGACCTCATGGTCATGAGCGGCGTGGCTGACCTGCACAAGGCCGTGGGCAGTCCGTCGGGGCCGAAGCGCAGGAACCGAGGCAAGAACCTGCCCAAGGACATCAAGCGTGCGTGCGCCATCTGCAAGGCCGAGAAGACCAGCCAGTGGCGCTCTGGCGCTGACGGCCGCCCCACGTACCGTCCCCCCCACCCCCGTCCCCACCTCCGCCACCGTGGATTCGGAGTTAAGCAGTTAGTGATGAAATTTCGACATGAGCTCGCGTTGCTCACATTTCCTGCGTGCTGATGCTCACAACCAGGTTGTGCAATGCGTGCGGGCTGCGGTATCGGCACAGCATGAAGCAGCACCGCCAGTACCTCGCCAGCCAGCAGCTCAGCTCTTCCGCTTCATCCTCCTCAGGCGAGGCCGTCGCAGAGCAACCGCCGACGGGTGCCAGCGCCCAGACGACCACCACGACCGCCTACAGCCACGAAGTCCTGCTCCAGCATCTGATCCGACTCCGCCATCAACAGCAGCAGCACCTGAGCAAGACCGACTCGACCGACTCCATAGGCAGCGAGGACGATTCCCCATCGCCGGCGTGCTCATCTTCGCCCGCGGACGCCATGCCACGACGCTCCAGCATCTACAGCTTGCTCAACTGACGACGATGAAGTCACGACGACCAGCCATCGACGGTGGGAATTCGATATATCCTCCGGCATTCCCCCCTTCGCTGTGCCGCTGCGACGGAGGTTTGGGCTCACTCAGTCCGCGAGCGGCAAATGGCGAAGCCCAGCCCCCAGGTCTCTGAGGATGTGGTCGCCACCGCTGAGCGAGAGCGCTCGGCCCCCTGCCCTCCCAGTCCCAAAACCTGCCGCACCCTGTCAGTGTACAATAAAACAGGCGCATAGGTTCGCCGCTGTTCTCCCTGTGTGCTTGCATCTTCCTCGTAGAACGTTGCACACAAGATATCCCATATGGTATATCTTGTCTATTTTTGTTAATCCAACAGAGGGGAAGGTGCGCCAACAAAACAATGAGGACCTCTGACTGTGTGGGGTGAAGATGGTTGGACAACACACAGCCACAACATGCTCGCAGGTTTCGTTGGACTATCGTGTGGTCATCAGGACAGGCCCGAGGTCGTCGGCGAAAGCGGTCTTGACAAGTCCGGAAAAGGATTGACAGTCGGCCGCATCAGACCCTAACTGAGAGCGGTCACGATCTGCACCTCTCATTGGTGGTGACTTGAATTAAGAATCTGCTCCAGGGGCCGTTTTTCTCACTTTTGCGCTTAGCCGGGCAGCGCACGTGGACGCACATGCCTGACGCCACCACTCGCGACACACCCAGACTGCGCCAACCGAACCGGAACATAAAGCCCACAGTTTACACCTCGCCAGCGCGACGTCGCATTGCCCCATCACTCTCCACACGAACGCCAACCTCAAGTCCGTCGTCCCCCTTTGAGCTCTCCGCCCTACCGTCGCTAAACAAGCTCGCCAACAACCCACCACCCGTCCGAGACAAGAGAGACAAAAAGCAAGACCGGCCCGATCTTCTTCCTACACGCAAAGCAAGAACCTCACTACCGTTGTAAGACAAGAGCACCCCTGCCCAACCTCTTGGTACTCTGACCGGCGCGACATCATCAACTTCCTCTGACCGACCGACCGACCGAGCTACGAGGCCCAGCAGGCCGCCATCATCTATCGACCCAGCAGCAGCTACAACCACAACACCAGCCCCATCCGAGT